ATTTGTACACTGATATTTTCTAATGGATAATTTTAGTTTGAAATAAATTGGCTGTAAGCGATTTCTGGCAGTTTTTTTTTGTCAAACTTTTATTTGGCAGAAACCTGAGATAGCAAACTTGTGATTATTTTCTGGCAGCACATACTTGCAGTCTGTTGCAACAGGTATTTGCTTTGTATTATATTGTGATGTTGTGTTTTATTAATGGTAGATGTACGTATATTGTTTTTTTTATTGTAAGCAAAATTTGTACAATTATTTTGTTTTTGAAAAAAGTAAAAAAAAAAAAAAAAAACTTTTTCACGATATTCAAATTTTTTGAGATGCACCTGCACATAATAAATATACACAGTACACACACATATATTATGTAAACAAAACTTTTATTTTGGATGCGATTAATCGCGATTAATCGTTTGACAGTACTAGTTTATAGATATGCAAATACCACATACCTGCGGTCCGGTTTAGTGTTGGCTGATTTGATCGATGTTGGTATGAGAGTATCAAACAGCTGATCCTCAGTGCTGTGGAAAAGCATTCAGTCAGTGATGTTCTTTGTTTTACGATGACTGAAAAGCATTTACTTGTAATTATCTGTCAGATTCTCACCTCTTTGTGGATCGGACAGAATATGATGTTGTTTTAGTTGGTGAAACATCCTCTTTGGTGTAGGTTTTGATGCTAGAATTTAACATGTTATGAGGTTAAGAAAGCAGCCACATTTGCTCAGGCTAAATTGCTTAAGGCTAAACGAGTTACTGTACCTTGTGGTGGTCTTGACAGGTGAGGTTGGTCTAAAAAAAGAATTATAGATTTAATTTTAATACTCACAAAAAGAAAGTAAAAGATTAATTGAATTATGAGATTATTTTCAACTTCATTTTATAACACTCACCCATCAACAGTGTCCTTTGATGACTTGACAGTAATAACCTCAGTCTTGTAACCACTTTAAGAACAGATAACATGCAGTGAGACATAGCTTGACAATTTTGCACATTTAAGCCACAAATGAATATGAAATTCATTGAAATAGATAACATAGATGACAACATATCAAACCAACACATTTATCTTATTTGAACAGTTTATCTATTAGTTATCATCTACAACCAAACACATTATTAAAATTTGTGTGGAAAGTGTGTTTGTGCTATATCTTTAAAATAAATGGCACTTGGTTTGGCATTCATTTTTTTATTCAAATGAATGAATGCATATTATATTGAGCTGATTTACCCAGAACTCTTGGTGTTTAAATCTGCCAGGTCTATATTGGTGAGTGTTTTAGACTTCACCACATCCTGCCTAAGGACCAGAAGACAACACAGTTTAGAATAGTTAAAGTGCCTGTATGAACTGACCTTGACATTCATAACATGATCTGCGATTGCAAGCAAAGATGATTATAGTGTGAAATAGTTATGACAGATTTGACATTGATATGATGTACTTTCAGCATCTTACTTGGTAGTGGTCACAGTTGTCTCGGTTATCTTTGTACCATCCTTGATTGTTGTTGTAGAAGTAGAGCTGAAAGAGCAATCATCAGGTTTGTAAGAAGCTAGTCTTCATTCATTCAGTCAATCAGTCATTAAGCAGGTGTGTCTCAGAGGTGTTACCTTTTCCTCGGCTCAGTTTTCACTGTTGTTTTAGTTCCTGTGGTTCTGTAGGGTTGGGTTGGGAAGATAATTGAGCTCTTAAAATGTTTTAAATTCCCAGCTTTTTGGCTTCTGAACACTCTTACAAACAGGTTTTAAATACAGCAAACATTGGTGACTAATCATATTGTAAATGTAAGTCTACATTCTTCAGTAGATTAAGTATTATTGTGCTGTATAATACTCTGTTATTTTCCTAAAGTAAGTTCAAGATATTTACTATGAGACAGATTTAAGCAATAAACGTCATGATTTTTCAGTGCTAGAAAAGAGTGTGCATATTTTACCTGGTTTCATTCAGTTTGTCCTGGCTACCACCAAATCTACATATTGAAAACAATCAGTGAGACCACTTGATTAGATTTTATTGCATAAACTTTCTCCAAAGAACCCATTTCTTCTACATCAGATATCATGCTTCGGTAAATCATAATTATGACATAAACGTCACCAGTTTGACATAAAATATCAATATTATGAAATAAAGTCTAAATGATGAGATACCAAGTCATAATTATTAGACAAGAAGTAGAAATTGTGGGAGTCAAAATCATAATTATGAAATACAATACATACTAAGGCCATGTCCACACGTACACGGGTATTTTTATAAATGGAGTTTCCGTTTAAAAAAAAATCTCTGTCCACATGAAAACGCAAACGCATGCTATGAAGCACTGTCAAGAGCATGCCAAACCAACAGGTGGTGATATAATCTCAACCGTAAAGCCATGTTGGCCAATCAGAAGCCTGAAAAAGTCTCCAGTAGGCGGAGATAATGCGCAGGCTCCGACGTCACAAGCCAAAAACTCCAGTTTCGCTGTCTACACGATAACACCGCAACCGGAGTTTTTGAAAATCTTCACCCTGGCAGGCGTTTTCAAAAATGTTCGGTTTCAGTGACCTGGTGCTGCGTTTGCGCGTGGACTAACGGCCAAACCGCGTAGAAAAAGCTGCGGGTTTAAAAAAAATAATCGCGTTCGTGTGGACAGGGCATTAGTCATAATTATGAGTTAAAAAGTAGAAATTGTCATGAGTTTGTCATAATCATTACTTTTTATCTCGTTTTGACTTTTTATGTCATCATTTCAACATTTTTTATAACTGACAATTTCAATTTCAACGGTATCGAAATTTTCGACAAATTTTGACTTTGTATCTCAATTATGACATATGTCATCATTTCAACATTTTATGTCATAATTATAACATAATTCAACTTCTGTCATAATATTGGCTTTTTATCTCATAATGAATAATGCATCTCATAATTTCAACTTTTTATCTTATAATTAGTGCTGTCAAACGATTAATCGCATCCAAAATAAAAGTTTTTGTTTACATAATGTACGTGTGTGTACTGTGTATATTTATTATGTATATATAAATGCACACACATGCAGTATATATTTTAAAAATATTTACATGTATTTACATGTCTATATTTATATTCATATAATTTATATTATAAATTAATATATTTAATATATAAACATAACATATTTTTCTGAAATATATACATGCATTTGTGTGTATTTATATATACATAATAAATGTACACAGTGCACACACATATATTATGTAAACAAAAACATATTTTGGATGCGATTAATCGCGATTAATCGTTTGACAGCACTACTTATGATTACAATTTTTAGGTCATAATTTCGATTTAACAGTTGTTTTTCTTATGTGGCAGAAATGGGCTACCATACTAGTGAGTATTGTTTTGTACTGTGTAATCTGCTGCACATTTGGTAAGATGTTTGATGTAAGAAAGTCTCAAGTGCGTCTTCAGCAGTGTATTACCTTTTAGTGAGCGCTTGGACAGAGGCACCTGATGAAGTGGTGACAGTGCTGGTTTTGCTCTCGGTTTTGCTAGTTTTATCTTGAGGGCTTCATGAAAAAAAGATCATAAGAATCTCATATTACAACTTTTAATAGCAACATGTTGATCTACACACGAGATTACCCACTTGACAAGGTTTTCGTTGGACTTATAATGACCCAGAACACTTTTGCCGAAGTTTGCATCACGTCTGTTGAGAGAAGGGAAAAATAAATTGAGCTTGTCAGTTGTTTAGTCTGTCAGACACACATAAATCCCACTGACATAAATATAACAGAGGCGAGATGTTAAACAAGTTATGTCTGTCTGGTTTGCTGTTAATTGATGAATGTGTTGAAAACTTACTCGACTTGTTCTTCCTCGTTCACATTTGACTTAATCCAGCTATTGTCCTTCAGCAGGGATTTCTTTTTGCCGTCATCCACTGTTTTGGTGGATCTAGTGCTTGAAGTTGTAACTGTTTTCAATAAAAATAATAGGTAAATAAAATGACTTGATTATGGATGATATATAATGAAAGCAATGTCATTTTAAGGCGTTTTCTCACCTGTTTGGGGTTTACTGTATGACTTTGGAGTGAAAGACATGGTTTATGCTGTAAAATGGAATTAATACACATTATTACATTTGCAGTAGATACAGTGCAGTCACTTCTAACAAGGCTACCATCCACAAGATGGTGCCACTAGACGATTATGAGTGCATCCAGTGCATTAAATGCATAATTTCACAAATCACGGTTAACACGTTCCATTCCTAGTAGTGTTTGATGTAGCGCTGTCCTTTTAATTCATACCTTCCTGGATACACCCAAAACTAGTTTGTCCTGATCCCTGTACCGACACACCCTGTTTAAACACCTGCCACTGAAACCATAGCAACATTCTCATGCTTGGAAATAATCATCAGATGTACTAAAAAACACTCAGCAACATGGGAGTTCTCGCTGGATTTCTTGTAGCATAGTTAAAATTGTAAAAAATTAAAAATTAACTTTCTTTTGCCGATCTTCATACTTGGGTAGCTGACATGAAATAGGCTACTTGTAGGAAGCTGACCTGCTAAACTCCATCTAAAACAATTTGAAACAATATTTGACTAATTATTTTTTAATTATTATGCATGCAGCTTCTATGAGGTCCATTTAGAGAGACTACACACTTTAATATACTGTATGCATGTTTTATATTTTTAAAATAAACAATAAGGAATTTATATACAAACAATTTATTTACATGTGTATGATATTAACGCATCATATAAATATATATCATACATTTTAACATTAAATCTTTGACACATTATGCATGAACTACCCATTTATAAAAACAATTACAAATCAGAATAATCTCTGTGGGAATTCACAATGTTTCGCAAATCATTATTATAAAAAATAACAGTCCAGGAAAAAACTACTATATGGAGAAACTGATGTATTTGTATTTTGATTTGAGAAGAAATCCACTGTCACACTTTTGACGTATAGAAGCACCATTCTAATTTTATTTTTGAAAAAAACTACAGTAAACGTCATGTCCTTCAATCTCACCTTGACATTGTAAACTGTTCTTTAGTAAGACTGCACTGTGTAACTACTAAATACTAAACAATGTTTAATTACAGTCATACAATACATCCATTTCACAAGAGAATCCATTTAAATGAACATGCTTTAGAATTGATCACTAACCTAAAAACCCATTGATTTTACAATCAAACAGACTAAAAATATTAACCATGAAAATGACTGACATATAATTAGAACAGAATTCATAGACACACATACAGATAGAAGTCTACGAACAGTCATACCTCGGTATTTCAGGTGCGCGGGATGTGATAGAGGTTAAGTGAGAATAACATACAGTTTGCTGCTCTTCCCCTCTTACATATTTGACCTGGGTAGGGAAGGCAAGACCAGTGAAAGGTGTGGCTTCATGTGACACACACCAGAGCAACTGAACCTGAACTGTCAGCACAGCTATGTCAGTGTAGTTTACAGTAGGGGTGTGTCTTCATGAGGTCTTTCCCAAAAAGCGCTTAGTAATGAATGGCAGGACATCAGCAGCCAATTGTCTGTCTTAGGAAACTATGTGAAAGCCACCATAACAACCTCCACCGAGACGGCAAGATAAAACTGTTTGGGGTGTTGCTCCCAAGGTTTACAGGTTCAAACGTCTGTAATTCTGATTGTTTATTGCTTATAAATGGGGAAGTCGTGGATGGGGAAGTTGTGGCCTAATGGTTAGAGTCGGACTCGTAACCCAAAGGTTGCGGGTTCGAGTCTCGTACCGGCAGGGATTGTAGGTGGGGGGAGTGAATGTACAGCACTCTCTTCCACCTTCAATACCACGACTGAGGTGCCCTTGAGCAAGGCACCGAACCCCAACTGCTCCCCGGGCGCCGCAGCAAAAAAATGGCTGCCCACTGCTCCGGGTGTGTGTTCACGGTGTGTGTGTGTGTTCACTGCTGTGTGTGTGCACTTAGGATGGGTTAAATGCAGAGCACTAATTCCTAGTATGGGTCACCATACTTGGCCACATGTCATGTCACTTTTTAATATTTTGCCAGCAATTATTGTAGTTCAGAATCAGGCACTTACTGGAATTAAAATGTAATGTTTAATTAAATTAATTACTTGTTTCTGTATAACTGATTGAATTGAATAAAATTGTTTCAAAGTAGAAGCCTAAATCTCCATATTTTTTAGTTTACACTAAAAAATTATTTGTCGAAATTGTAAATAAAATAAAGATTATTGGAGTGTGTTTACAAGAAAATACGTTTCAGTTTTTCTACTTCAAAAATTTCACAATGTTACTTGCCATTTCTTTGTAATTATTTGTGAAATTTACCAGCAATTATGATTTCAACATTATTAAAAAATATTTTTTTTTTCAAAGTTGTAAATAAATAAAAAGGATTGGAGTATGTTTTACAAGAAAATATTATTGCCGTCTTTCTACTTCAAAATGTACAAAAGTTACTTGCCATTTCTTTGTATTTGTGAAATGTAGAGTGAAAAGTATTTCAAAGTAAACCCTTCACCATTTTTTCAGTGTACTAGAGCAGGCTCAAATCAAAGTTACATGGTGAAGGCTTGGCGATATTACATTATATAATGATATATAATGATATATAGCTCTGAACCTCAGAAGATGAAACCCTCTTGAGCCAGAAAATATTTTTTTGGTTGTTCTAAATGAACAGGGGTGTTGTTGCAGAAGCCTGCGGTTGTTAGGTTTGTGCTTTATTGTGGGAGGTAACGTATATAGTATGTCTGACAGAAAATATGAAGAGTATGTCTTGTGGGGTGTGACGCTGTGGTTCATGTTAATCACACCCTTCCTCAATAGTTTTAAAGTGTGTAATATGCAAAAGACAATCAAACTAGGTGACATTCGATGAGGAAGAAGCTGCTTCTTATGTTACACCAATCATTTTAATGCAAATATTAATGTTTGTAAACACAAGGTTTGGACTGAGAATACAATGATTGTATTTATTTAACAGGAAACATTGGGCATCTGAGGTTTAAATAAGGTTCTTTTATCTGCTTGTTCAATTTTGTAACACAAGTAACATAATTGCTGAACATTTTATTACTACTTAATTTCATTGTGTTCAGTTCACTCAAATATCTGAAACTGAAGTTTAAATCTTTTATCTTTTTTTGTTTCTATAAATGAAACGGCATATGAGTTTTAGTTCCCAGCATGATTTCCATAGGACTCATTTGGGAGAATAAATGTTGAAATTAAGTGCTATTTAATGTGTTTTGTGTAAAGGCAAACCCATGTTTAAAGTTCAGCTGGACATTTAAAAGAGTTTCTGTTGTTGGCGTTTTTGCGGTTAACAGTGGAACATGTGGTTGGGTTATAGGATGGTTATATAAGTTAACTATTGTGTTAGTTGTTCCATTAAATGAGTATAGCTGTGCTAACGTCAATGCAGTAACAAATTAAAAATGTATGTCTAAAATAAAGTAAGTTTGTGTGAACACGTTCCTTAAAAAATCAGGTCATACGTCCTCTTTTCCAGGACATTTCTAAATTGCCAAGAGCCCAGATTTTGGCTTTGTTTTCCTATTGTTTTCATACTTGCTGAAGGTAATGACTGAAAAGGAGTTCGACCAATGGCGTGCAGGCATTGTACATAATCGACCAATCGTGGCGTGCGAGAAGGCGGGATCTACAGAGAAACAACGGTCAACGCAACTTGTTCATAATGTATGCGGATTGTAGAGAGCACATCAATTTATCAATTGAATTATTTAACTTTTTAAGTTAGGATTTTACTTAATTCCATGTGTGAAATTTATCTGAGAAATCTAAGTGCAAAAAACTCACTGAGAAGCAATCAGGATAATATGCCATATGCCTGATTACAGCTTTATCAGGTACTCATTCATACCTCTGAATCATGATGCATATGACTGATCTTGATTCAGTTTAGCCTAAAAGTCATAACAAACTCTTGTGTTTATGAGAAAGTAGCAGACATGGCTATTTTGTGACATATAAAGAGATGAATTAGGTCTATATTAGGTGAATTGGCAGCTTTAAATAAATTGCCTTTGAAAACTACAAGCTCTGTTATTCTTAATGAAGGTAAACGTGAAATACTTTTCACTTGTACCTTTCTGGAAGTTTCTAATGATCCTGTAGACCTTGACTAGCTGGTTCAGGTGTGTTGAATCAGGGCTGGAAAGTGGCCCTCAGGAGCAGGATTGGACAGCTCTTCTATTTACAAATGAATAAATAGATTACAAAATGTATTAACACTAAATCATAGTCGTAATTTGGATTTTGTTGAGAGGTTTGACAAAGTGAGTCATATATATCATCAGATATTCATCAGAATTCTCAAATATTGTAGTGCTTTTATCCTTTTTGTGCCGCATTTACTCTGTTCTGTTATTTTACCAAGTTCTCTTGTAAGATTTTATTTTTTCCCCAATCACTGAATGCAAAACTTCCCATTGATTGTGTTAAATAAAGTGTCTCTGGAAAGGTGCCTTTATTAACGTTTTACTGTAGTAATATAAACTGTATCGCGAAAATATAGTTGAAAATGTAATGTAGATTTAACATTAATTCTGAGTACATCAGATTGCAACACTGTTGTATATATTATCCTTACCTCAATATTGTTGCAAGAAAAGTGATTTAGAACCAACCTTATTTGTAAGGTTAATTTAATGAATCAAAGTTGTATCATCATGCAACATGCTTAAGATAGATAGATAGATAGATAGATAGATAGATAGATAGATAGATAGATAGAAGTTTTTCACTTTAGCAATGAAGTTTCTCACCACTAGATGGGGCAAGAAATTAAAACGTTCATATTTGCGTTCATGAACTTACTGCAGTGAAGTTTTAAAATGAAGAATTTCTAAGTAAGAATTTGTACCTTTCTCGCTGCATTAAACATTTTTAATTTTAGGATACCTGTGCATATTGTGCTATTAGAAACCTTATTATGACCTTATTACATGTGCACTTACTCTCATATAACCTTTTCTCACTATCTCTCTTCCTGTTTTATAGACATCCACATACATATTCTATTTGTCTCATGCCTGCTGATCATACTAGTGTGAACTATTTGAAATGGGAACCTTTATTTTTAATAGTGCACTGTGGGTGGATTGTCTATTAGATTATTTATGATTATATTTTAAAGGCAAAGGTTGTATGAACAATAATATAGTAATATCCACTTACATGTTCATTTCCCTTCTGCATTACCATGATTCAACTCTCTGAAGATTACCTCATACAGTGAGGTATGCATTAATATTTTTGTTTCAAAAGTTTCATTGTTGTTCAAAGATGACATGAAAACTGAAGTTTGCCAGGTTTAATTAAAGCTCTCTCCACAGAGGTGAGGTGACTGCTCCCGCCAAGACAATTGCCAATTATTTTTTATCAGTGAAGAGAAATGTTACATCTGAGAAGAGATCGTTGCAGGTATACAGAATTGATATCAAAGTGAAATGTTGTGGATACAAAGAGAATATATGGGTGGCAACTAAGTCAACCCTATGTTTTCAAGTACCAGGGCCATAAGGGGGACCCATGTGACCCTTCAGCAAACTTATGGAAATAATAAATTTGTTTAAATAAAATAATATATTTTTAAATATACTTTTTCTTTCAAAATATACCTTTAAGATTTGAAGTATATTACAAGTGGATGTTCAATAAAATTAAGTGCACTTCTTTTTCACAAATCTATCTATCTATCTATCTATCTATCTAACTATCTATCTACCTACCTACCTACCTACCTACCTACCTATCTCTCATCTATTTTGTTGGGATGAAAAATAGATGAGCTTTGTTGTGAGTTTGCATGAGATGAGTAAAAAACTAAACAAAACAAACAAACAAAACAATAAATTAAGTCATACGTGTTTGTAATGACAAGATAGTGAATATATGATGACAGAATTTTCATTTTTGGGTGAACTGTCTCTTTAAAGCCTGACTACTAATAAATGAAACATAGTTAATTAGTTGAAATTATTTTATTATGTGAGAAACAGAAAATGTGAAATTACGTTCTACAGCTGTATTCTGCTGTTAACCAATCAGAATCAAGTATTCCAGAATAATATGTAAACACAATAATAACGTATAAAAGATCTTATAAATAGGCCTAATATTACCAGTTATTGCCAGAAATTCGTAGCTCATGTTATTGTCAGGGCATAATAACCTTACAAATGTAACGTATGTTGTATTGGGCTGTGTGACTCAGATTCACATTTAGAAGAAACGAACGTTAAAGCATCCAAACCCGCATCTGACGCGTTATACTCGGCCGCTCCATTACTACAGCGGGCGCGTTTACAAATCTACCGAGTCCACTAGCAAGACAGCACTCTAGGCGCATTGAGAATCGTCGCTCGCGCGCCCAAATAGTGGCTAGGTAGGCCGCGCAGTGCGTTTTGAATCACAGCCGGTGTGTGCTACGGATGGGAATGTATCCCAGCATGCTTGACAGTCAGCGACATGAACAGGGAAGGATGATGAAGCTAAGATGGCAGCGCTGCTAGGGGTGCTGTCTTTACAGGGTCGAGAAAAACAGCAGGAACACCCGCGAAGCACGGACGTCAGCTCGCGCTGTTGACTTCTTTCACTAAAGGCAGTTGGATCGCCTGCAGTCGAGGAAATAACGGTCGGTGTTTGATCCGAGCGTAGGAAAGAAAGGGACGCGTATTTCGCAGTCGCAGCAGAGCGGCTCACCGTAAACGTCGTTTTAATTGGAGATAACGCACTCGGATGTAATTCGCCGGGCGTTTTTGCGGCTTTGCGGCTTTGCGGAGCGGATTTATGGAGGGGGATTTGGACTTTTAGCTCTGTTGACTGACATTGTAATCTAATATATGCGTTGTTCCCCTGAACGATGATGTGTGCTGCTGCGGCAACCGGTGCCGGTGGCAGCGGGATCCCGTCCTCCTCGTCCCACTCCATGGGGCTGGGAGTCAGGGTCATTCCCGGAGCTGGAAGCGATTTCGCATCGATCGGAGCAGGGATGGGCTCCTGTCCTGTTGTGGGGGCCCGCTCGGATTGCCGGAGTCGCTACCAGCTTCTTCTCTCAGGGCGAGCACTGGCGGAGCGGTACCGGAGGATTTACACCACTGCGATCAACGACAAAGAGCAGGGGCTCAACCTCGGCAGGTGGGTCTGATTTACCGGCTCGGTTAACCGGCGTACTGATGGACGTGTTTGTAAACAAAACCCATTGGGTTAAACATGAGCTCAATTGTGCCCAAACAGCAGTAACTTAGCAGTTAGCATGCGGCTAACTTCCTTAGCGGGCGCAGCTAAAACACTCGTTTCATCTCATGCAGGTCAACGCAGAAGCTCAGTTTGTGTTGATTTTGATTTGTGCGCTTTTTAACATCACGTTCACTCTGCTGTCACGGTCAACAATGCCGTTTCGAGACATATTGCACGACTAGATCAATAGCTGTCGCGTTAGCTGTTAAGCAGCTGCTTATAGGCTCATGATGTAACATTAACGTTAGTGTTGTGCTAATAGGACGTGGCTGGATGAGTTTAATGTGTATAATAAAACTCAACTGGCTTCAAATACAGTGCACAGACAATGATATGTTATGCGAAGAAGGCTATATTAAACCTTTCGCATCAAATTTGTGTACATTAAAGACAAGCGAAATGCTGTCAGGCTTGTGAAACGTCTTATAGTCCCAGTTCAGATTGTGGGTATCAGCCTTCTTCACTGAATTGCATGTTCAGACAGATAGTTATTCATAACCAGCTATTACATTTACATAACTGTGACTTATTCAACGATATTACATATGGTATCGTATATATTCAAAGCAGCAGGCGTGTCTCGTTGAGGTGAAGGGCTGGGTTCTGTTTTGCCTGACGTCACCCTGCTGTAGACACACACACACACACACACACACACACAGATGTGCTTCACCTCAGAGCTGTCTCTTATTAGTGATCCCACCGTACAAATCATTATTGTTTCTGTTCATATATTCGTAGTTTGACTTTTTTTTTTTTTACTATATTACTATATTATTATTATTTCTTTGCTGGCTTTTCTATGCACAATTTTTTCATTATTAAGTTGTGATAATGTGCTTACAAAAATATGTCATGAAGAATTTCTGGAAGAATATGGAAAGTGATTTTGGAAAGTGATTTTTCTTGAGGTTTGGTAGTCATTTACAAGCAGCAGTTACTAAAGAACTGCAAGCTCCTACTCTTAAATTATATTTAGCCTCATTGCAAATGAGTAGATTTTGATTTCTTATTTGATTTAATAAATAAATCAAAATACTGTATCAGCCTTCTTCACTGAATTGCATGTTCAGACAGATAGTTATTCATAACCAGCTATTACATTTACATAACTGTGACTTATTCAACGATATTACATATGGTATCGTATATATTCAAAGCAGCAGGCGTGTCTCGTTGAGGTGAAGGGCTGGGTTCTGTTTTGCCTGACGTCACCCTGCTGTAGACACACACACACACACACACACACACACACTGATGTGCTTCACCTCAGAGCTGTCTCTTATTAGTGATCCCACCGTACAAATCATTATTGTTTCTGTTCATATATTCGTAGTTTGACCTTTGCTTAATCCATAAGTTGTTTCACAGTTGCCAAAAAATGAAATACGTAAGAATGAGAACACACACATTTCTATGCTTCAATTAATTTGAACTCTTTAGCAAATGAAATGCAGCATATCTTAACAGATTCAATAAATAAAGCAGACTCATACAGAAGACTTCTATTTCAAATTTAGATTGGCCAAATTGATTTAATCTATATGAATTTTACAAATAATAATAATTTCACACATAAAACTTGACTAGAGGTCAATAAAAATAATCTAATATTTTTTTTCTAATATCTTTGAGCGTAACAACTGTCATAATTCTGTAATTGTAAATATCACATGCACTTTTTTTTTTTTTTTTTTTTTAGGTTTGCCTAATTGCTTTTAATGTATATTAAATTTTACCTAAAAATCATATGGTTCAAAATTAAATGAACATATACAACTCAAGTCAAGATTAATAAGCACAGAATGACTAGAGGTCAACAAAAATAATCTAATACATTTTTTAAGATCTTTGAGATTAAGATCAAGTCAAAAAGAATGTTATATGCTATGTTGTTACTGACTTCTCTATGCAAAAGTTATAAAAATAAATAAAAATCATACAAATGTGTTTAGTAGAATGTATGTGATGAAGGTCTCAATTTGTATCAGTTTGCAAAATTGAAAATAAATTGACCACATTTTTTCCCTCATTCCAATCTCTGGGAAGTAGGAGTTTTTGAGGTCTAATAATCCTTTTACCAGTGGTTTCATAGTGTACACTTACACCACCCACTCATGACGCCACCAGCGTTGATAGCATGCAAAGAGCGCTGAACCATTGAACGCCCCTCCCAACCTTCAGGCTCTTCATCACAAGCAGCCTCGTTCACTTTTCACTGCATATGATCAGCTGCCGTTATTCCATTGTTTACTGCTGTACACAAACTCTAGCACTTCAGCACCATTCCTACATAACGTTCTACATAATAGCAGATTCACATGGCTCTCTTGATGAAAATAAAACTATGATCTCCCGCTGCCCGAGCGCTTTCTTGTGTGGGGTTGCCACTAGGATTTGGGCTATTTGCAGTTTCTCATGTTAGACAAACAGTGTCATTTTACTGTGTGTAAGCAAATTTAAACCAGTGTGAAAAAGACCAACATGGGCTTTATTGCAAAGGTGTTAACATGGCAGCATGGAGTCCCTTTAAGATATTACTGCTCTTAAAATCCATCCTTATTAAAAATGCATGTTAAAACCGCACATTATGACTACATGTGCTGACCGATTGTGATGTATGACCTCTGGACTTTATACCAGTATATTGAACTGGTACTAACTACTTGACAAACAAAATTGAAAATGCCAAATATGTTAGTAGTAGTGTCAACCTCAGATGCCCACAATCAATTCACTGGCTGTCTGATTCATATTGCACACTAAACTGCCAGCCAATATCCGAAAATCGGCAGATCGAAAGTGATTGACCACACTATTTCTGTCTATCGAAAAGTCCACCAGAGAACAAAGTCGTGTTTATGATGTGCTGGATTGACACACTGCATGTTTTTTTGGACAGCTGCTGCTGTTCAGTTTTTCTAGGCATAAATCCATCTCTGAACAACAGCATATAAAACCAAAAATGAACTGTTTAGTCAGTTTCCATGTGTTAGACAATCTCCTCCTTTTTAAGTGGGCAGTTCTTGGCCAGAATAACCTGCAGTTTTGGACCAGACTTATTGCCCTTTGTATATTATTATCTAAATAGACCTTGGTATTAATTCAGGATTTCTGTGGGTCTTAATAAGATATTAAATTTAAGTAGAAAGTCACTGCATTAAATGTTGCATGCACTGCAAAAAAATAAAATAAAAAGAAAAATCTTCCTGTGTTTTTTTTTCGTAAAGATATTTTTAAAGATGCATTTATTTATTTATTCTTTTGTAAAGATACATGTATTTGAGATGCAAATGTGAAGTCTTGTTTTTTTAATGAAGTATATTTTTCTCACCCTATTGGCAGATATTTGCTCTTGTTTTAATCATAAACACTTCATTTGGATCAGTTTCTCAGGAAATACGGCCTCGTTTACACTGCAGGTCTTGATGCCCAATTCTGATTTGTTGCCTATATCCAATTTTCTTGACAGTCCGTTTACACGTTCTTTCAATTGTTTGTGACCCATATCCGATTCATGTGTTTACACTTGCCATACCACCTGAAACATTGTGCATTGTGACGACATAAAGAATATGACGTCATTAAACCGCGGAGAAGTACCAAATTGTCGCAGTTTTAATGACGCTGTTTTAAGAACACAGTGCCTCAGAAAATCCGATCTGCCTGTTTACATGACAGTCGCATTGGCACATATCTGATTTGTATCCGATTTATTTCTACATGTGAATGAGGCCTGAAACCGATCTCGAAATATCCAAATGCATGCTTTTTTTCCTGTTCACACTATCATAGAAGAACACATCCGATCTGTGTCACATCTGAGCAACAAATCGGAATTGGGTCACATTAAACATCGTTTTAAATAATCATTTTACTTCTCAATGTAGCTTGATTTAAAGCGGTCATGAACTGCCTTTGTTTTTTATTTTGTACTGTTCCCTGAGGTCCACTTATAATGTTATAAAAAATTTTACATCAAAAAACATAATTTAGAAGTAATAAGCTAGGGCCTTTTCTGTCCTGTTTTTAACCCCTCTCATCAGAACGCTCCGTTTGAATAGGCGTGACACATAGACTCGGAAGTAAATGCCCACTGCTATGATTGACTAATAGCTTTGTATGTTTGACAGCGTACATTCCTCATAGATGGACGCTTCTGTGATTTAGGTCAAAAACGCATAACTCAATACATATCAAACGATCTGTAAGAAGAGACAAAGCAATAGTGACAATGTAATGAAAACAGTTACTCACACTTGTGTGGTGCGACATCGTATCCACTATAGTCGGCACAGCATCGTCTTTTAGTTTCAATCTTTTTAAAAAACCCGCGTTGAATTGTGCCTTGTTTGTAAACAAATCCACGGTAAAATAAAGTGAACAAAGTTACCAAGTTCTTACTGATGCAGTTTGGAACTTCATTAAAAATAAAGTTGATCCACTCTTTCCTAATGTTGAGATCGATCAGAAGGAAGGCAACGCAAACACTGTTTTTGCACAACTTGGCACTGCACAGCGTTGTTGTCTTCAGAGCCATCTTTATCGTTTGGTCTTTGCGTGACTTGCGCATTTGCCTCTCTCGTAAACACTACATGTGCAAATTGGTGGGCGGGGCTTAACGGGCAGTGATGTTGATCTTCTTCTGCGGAGGCGGTGCTTATCCACACTATTACATCATAGAGTAGAAGATTCCAAAAGCTGTCATTTTGGCAGACTGCCTTCAATATATAAGCTGTTTTTGAGTTCTGAAACTTTCAGGATGTTTGTATATTACAATAACATCTTATATGCCAAAAGATCAAGGGAATTTTGATTTCTCAGAATATGAACCCTTTAAGAATCTTTAGACATTTGCAATGGAAAACAAGACAAAAATACTGAGGAAGTACATAACCATTTGTGCTACATTTAAAATGATTTTCATATTCTTTGTTTTTTGTAAAATGGAGTAAAAAATAACAGATCTGTTGGAAATGGTATTTTCAGACTGTGAAGTGTTGTTATTACAATTCACTGTCTGCTCCTTAAGCATGTATAGAACATATTTTCTTTACTTGGTCTTAAAAAGGCCTTCAAGTTTTAAATTCACCTTCAGAAACCATGTCATTTGTGATTATTCATAGATCACACTGCAAAACCACTAACATGTGTCATTCTTCTCCAGGGGAAAGAAAGCTTTGAGCAAGAAGAAGCTAAAAAGGCGGCAAAAAGTCAAATCAAAAGTGAAAACAAGAACAAAGGTAAGATTGTGAATCTGACTCTGGATACTGTAGTCTTCATTGCTACTCATTTTCTGCCCCATTTAAACCGTGAAGCTATAGGGTTTAAAAGCCATTATTGGTAGCATCATTTCCATATTCACATTCAAATTTTGAAGAAGTATACTTTCATAGACTTCTGCTGTCCATATTTCAAAAACTGTAACCTTTCTCATTTTAACATCATGTAACTGGTTCTTTTGCTAAATGTTGAAGTAGTGGTTTCCATTTAAATCTTCAGTCTGGATTTTCTCTTTGGCCATTTAGGTGCAGCTCTAATTCCATTAAGATTTTTTTTTGCTGTTTTGACAGTGATCACATACAGTACATATGTATACATACATATTTTCATGCTTGGAAACTGCTTTTAGTCGTCACAGTTGAGAAGACGCCAATAAACACTCTCATACATGGCGGAGGATGCGGGAATGCTGGGGTCACGATTGGCAGTTGCTTGGCGACCCGTGTGTTGCACGTTTCCATGGCAACAGCTTCCTCCATCTCCTGCACTGAGCACCTATGTGTGCTGGCAGCAGGGTTTGTCTCGCTACGTCTGCAGCGTTTACCATATGGAATAAAATCGCTGTCAAAAATAAT